ACGTAGCTGACAGTGGTAATGCTGTCATAAGTACTTATTCACTTACTCCTATCTCCACAATGCGTTACTCCATTCCCATCAGGCCATTGTAAAACAGTGCAGTTGCATCGTGTCTCATTTGGAAATTAATTAAACCATCTTGTTCTTAAAACGTTTTGATCATAAGGAATAATAATGCAAACTTTATTTTATTGATTATTATAAGTAATGGAAATTGTGCAGTGTTTCTCCACGGCAGTGTAAATGAATATCAATAGCAGTCTGCTGCGAAATATCAGTGCATCCTTTCATTTTTATGAAAGTATAACGCTCCTCTGGGAGGGGAGGGGGTAACGGTATCTCCTTGGACCTGAGCTGGCTAATGTGCGCTGATTCTAATGTGGCAAGTAGATCAACAGTGTACCCTAACTCAGTAAAGCCTTCTCCCAGTTTACTGTCATGGCATCAATCCCAAGTCTATGTCTATATATCTTCCAGATTCCATCTTTTTGTTTCCACACAGATGATCATGCTTTCACTGTAAAATTGTGTCCAGTAAATCATGTTCTTCAAGAGTAGAATTTCAGGGTCACAGTAAGCAACATGACAACAGTTTTAATAACTGAGTTCCGTCAACTTTTTCGATAGTTGGGATGACTCTTGGATTCGATCCCAGCTGTTTCGTTTTTGTTCTTGTACGCAATGAAACAAGACACCTGAGTAAAGGTGCAATCAAAAGGATTTATAATCACATTGGAAGAGCTGATTTAAGAACACCATCACGTGGCATCAGTTTTACAGGATCTTACAATTTCCAGGCAAGTCACAGACAAAAATAATTGTTCGTCTGGTCACGTCAATGTTTTTGTCTGTAAATTTGAAGAATAGAGTCATTGTTGGGTCCTTGTGCATCTCTGGTATTCATCAAAAGTCACTGAAACCTGGACATCTTGAATTCAATCTTATACTTTCGACATTGACCTGCAGTACATCAGACAGAAATTTGTCAGCCATTTGGGCTGGATTTCAGCAATGCATTAGCAGGAAAAGCTGTCTTTGGGGAAAAAGGTTATCAATGGGCCAATGAGTCAGATTGAGACCAACTCCAGACTGCATCATGGCACATGCAAATTTGTGAGCAACGTCCTTTTCATCTTTGCATTTCCTTATGTTTAATCATCTCAGTAAAAGCCATCTGTTTCCCATCTTATTTTGGTGAGTCTTAAATCTGTAATGCGGGTCTGGATTTTACACATGTTCAGTTGCTGCTGATTAATCGTATTGTTATGCAGCAAGGCTCGCAAATTATAGGTCTCTACCCTTTCAAATGGTTGAGGAAAATACCTGGATATTGAAGAGTACAATTACCTTCAGTTTTGCATCTGTGACAACATCTTTCACAGTGTTGTGGAAGCAGAGAGCTTGCCATGAGCTTGGCAAAGGAAGGATTACAAAGAGCTGCCTGTTCAACGAGTTTCTGGGTCAATCATGTGGGAAAGAGGGGAAGGAAATTATTTTGAAGTTGAAATACACCTAAGTTTGACAATCACCTCTTTGTTTAAGGGCCAAACGTTGGGCAAGTTTTCTTACTCCATACGCCTCTGTTGACCAAGCAGTAAAGTAGGAACCCGGTTGTTAGTCGATTGGCGGATCGGTTTTCCGGGGGAAATAATCCCTTTTTAAAAAAAATGCGGTCACTCAATCCACAACTGTTTGTGCAACACTGCTGTGCTTCGCCCACAAGTCAATTCACTTTGCAGTATATTCTGTGAAGTACTTTGAGGTGTTTAGAAGACATGATAAGTCACTATATCAAATGCAAGGATTACTATTATTTTGTTTAATCTCAAACGTGGAGGAGTCCTGTAGCTCAGTGGTTAGAGCGCTTGCCTGGTAAGTGAGAGACCTGGGTTCGATTCCCAGCAGAGCGAAACCTTGGGCAAGTTTCCTTACTCCACACGCCCAAAATAATCCCTCAAGAAAAAAAACAATAATAAATCGGTCACTTCAATCCACGACTATTTGTGGGACGCTGCTGTGCGCAATTGGCTACTGCGTTTTGCGCATAAATATACCGTCAATCCACTTTACAGTATATTCTGTGAAGCGCTTTGAGAAGTCTCGAAGATGTGAAAAGCACTATATCAAATGCAAGGATTATTATTATTGATATTAGGCTGCCGATGCGTGTATGGGGAAAGTTTTTAAATTGTAGGTTCGTGGTGGCTTATTTGTAAAGGCAAGGGTTAAATATCTGTTCTCCTGGTCCAAATACAGGGGAAATATAGCAGCAGTGCCATATAGTATCACATCGCTGAGATTTGTTGGGTGGGACCTATTTTTATTTCTGGAAACATTATCAATAGTTCGCCTGGGAAGCGATATTTCATGCCAGTCGAACAAGTGATGTTTGGAGCCAGGTGGTAACACGTGCTAAGCATCACGAAGCTATCGCTGCAGTCTTCCATGACAGACTTACACTTAAATGCAGAAGAAACTGCAGCACAATCTGACGTCTTGGAGACCATTTGCTCAGTCGTTTCGAAAGAAAAGTTGTGATGACACCAGTGTGATATATTCTGTTTACTGATTAGAAGCAATGATTTATACAATCTTACACATATAAACAGCCAGTCCGGTTTCTGAGCCTAGTGAGGCTGTGGCTAAACTAAAACAAAGCAAAGGAAACAGGTTAATTCTCATGGAAACTGTAAGTATTTTCAACTGAACCCGTTTTGAAACAAGCAGATGAAAATGTTGTGCCCTTCAGTTAAATTCATTAAACCCAACTGTTGAATAACAGCTTCCTGCTTAACTCAAGTCTTTGCTATTTCACAAGTCTTTGTATAGTCAGTACTTGCACATATGTCAGTCCTACCAGTAAATGTTTCTTGCTATTCAATGGACCCATGTAGTGGTGGGGTAAGGATTTTGTCCTAGTTATTGTTTAAATTGTATTCAGCGGGTTTTTTTTTGTTTGAAGGAAAGTTTTCAAGCTGAGTACCTGTTCCCCGTCAAGCAAGTCTATTCATTGTGAGAAGGATGTGTTCGCCTTCGCTGTTGTTAACCGGGTCTGAACCTTCATTAATATTGGTGTGAATTCAGCACCAGATTAGTAGTACGAAGCCAGAGCAGATTCAAATGTTGATAATTGGCAAGTCTCGAGCACACACTGTGGAAGGTGGTCTGATTATTGTGTTCATACAGTATTCTTTTCCTTTCTACGAGTAAGCATCTTTTCTCCATTTGATGCTTTTCCTCTTTTTCCAGCTGTCCCCCCCCACCCATTGTATAATTGAGATAGGGAACTATTCTTATCTCCAGGGATTAATAATTCAAACCAGAACAAATTTGGAGACTTTGCAGAGTAAGTAATGGAAAATACCAGAGTAGTACCTGTCTCTTGGTATCCTGTTTTCATTTTGTTCCACACAGTTTGTGGTTTAATTGGGTCCTTTGAGCAATACCTCACTATTAGTTTCCATGGCTTTACGGGTGGGAATGCACTGTCGGTGTTAACATAACAGCCGTGCCAGCGTCTCCTCACGTGTGCATGACAAGTGGCTCTGCCTCAGTCAACAGCCGAAGAGCTCTCGTTGAGAGATGTATTGTAAGCTCGGCAAATTGACTTGTAACCACACCAAATTAACAACCAGAGGTTCCATTGAAGACTGCCTGTAATCTTGCAGGATCCTTGTAAGTGCGTCAGTGTGTAAGCGAATGCATGATCTGGCTTCCTGCACTGATCTGGATCATTCCTGTTACAGGGCTGGGGGCCATGGTATCAACTGCAGAATAACACAATGCAATAGGACAGTGCTCAACAACAAAGGGAAAACGTTTGTAAATCTGTAGAAGCTCGGCGTCTGAAACGTGGGCATTGGGCAAGTTTTCTAGCTCTTCAAATTGATTTATTCCCTCGCCCCAGTCCAATAAGAACAGTTTACTCTTTTTTTTCCTCTAAAGAGAGCTTTGAGACATTCAACCTACATGAAACATCCTATACAAGTGCAAATTGTTGTTACTAGGTTACGGTGTGGACTGTTATTAATGTTTGAGGTTCGGCCATTAGTGCTGACAATTTGACAGGGGAGCGGGACATTCCGCGTGATGCCCATACAGCCTAATGATACCTTCCACAGCAGAGGCCACTGGATAGCAATCCGCAATTGTAACCCTGTCTGACTTCTCCCCCCACCCCCCTCAAACCTGACCCGGTGACGCTGAGGTTAATTGTGGCCCAATTGCTGCCTCGGCTGAGATCAGTAACTCAGCACAGATCAAGATTCCAACCTGAAACCTTCTGTTAGTTATCAACTGTTACTAAGCTGCCAAAAATTGTCCAGTTTTGTGAATACTTGGTTTTTGCAGCTGCTGCTTTTGTCTTGTGCCGCCTGTTATTGGGTTCACAGCTGTGTGTTCTCTGCCATCTTGTGGTAGGTTCACTGAATCGACTTGTTGGTGAATCTTGTTTGGTACGACACTGAAAATGACTATAAAAGGATCATTTCACACAGGCTTTTGTTTGCCTGCAGAGAAAAAAAAGCATCTGCAATAAGACCAACCTTTCACACAAAATACAAGTCAATTTTATTTTTACCAAATGAAAATCATTAAGTATTTTATGTTAGATTTGTAGTTTTTTTTTAAAAAAAAGCATAATTAAAGGAAATATTAGGCAAAAAGAATTGATGTGTATTCATTTTCTTCAATTTATTTGTTATAATTGAAAACATTTCCCTCCTCTCGTCACATTGTGAACTTTCTTTGGGGGAAATTGGGAAGTAATGTATCCTGTGTGTTGTTATTGGTGCGATTGCTAATATCAGTAGCTGCTCACAAAGAAAAGATCTTCAAATTAGGTAGAGTAAAGGAGGAGGGATACTGCAGAATTCTGTATGATTTTTAACACTAACTATAATAAAATAGTTTCTAAGTAGACAACATTGAGTTGAGGAAAAGTGTGCATTGGTGGATACATTTAAGTAAGATTAAATTGTGCTCTTCTCTTTTTTTAACAGAAAGAATTAAGTTTGCCAAGAAGAGGAAGTTTGTAAGTACCGACTAATAGTCAATTTTTTTATGTGAAATATGTGTGATGATTGCGGTAACATAATAATTTTATGTCACTCCCGACATTCAAGTTTGAGAACAAAATCTGTTTGTTTGATATGAAGGAGAGGATTTTCTATTTTTTGCTCATGATCCAATTCTTGTGGATTAAGTGTAATATAAAACAGCTGACTGTGATTTCTCATTCATTTGATTAATGGTGAAAATATCGAACCATCAAGAAATCGCGTTGAATTCATTAGTAGTTTTTCTCTTTTTTTAAAAAAAAAGTCATGTTGAAGAGAGTTCAGATATCTTGTAAGTAGAGGGGTTTCTGCCATTTTAGGATAGCGAGTCTTCCTATGAAGCAAGAAAAAAAAGAACCGTATATGCTATGTTCTGAAAGGTTTGTGCTGCACTCTTCTAAACATAATATGATTTCTGGGGATATGAATATTTTAGCATTTTTCTTTCCCCCACCCCACATTTTCATTTTGGTCGACTTTTCTGTCCTCTAAGTGTTGGTGAAGAAAATATTCATTGCCAGAGTTGGCATCAAACAATGCTGGGTATAATATGGGTTCTATGAAGAGTAAAGCTGTCTCTACAGTTTTACCAAGGTTCCTTAAAGGAACGTTTAAATCACATTGCTTATTTCCAAACATGCTGCCTCTATCCTATAAATGTTTTATACATACAAAACGGTTTGAGGATGATATTAAAATATTTGATATCCTCATAATATATTCTCTCCAGCTCACACCGTTTCTTGTAAGCAGCTTTCACCAGTTCAGTCTGATAGCCATTCTGATAGCCCATCAATCTCCTTTCCTGATACTTTAACACTTTCTGACGTTTACGTTGCATTGATTGACAACAATAGAGATTGCTGTTATAGCAATCGGAACTAAACTTCCTAATTTTATTTAAAATAAGCAAAAGTGTTACAGCTGCCTGGAAACCTCATCAACCCTGTGATGTGGAGTGAAGTCCTGGGTCTGTGATGTCAATCAACAGGAAGGACATTAATGTTTGTTTTTTACTGACTGCCACTCAAATTCTCCAGGGCATTTTTTTCTTTGGAGAGGAAAGGTGGGGGCAGTGCAGGAAAGAATTACCCATTAGTTGGTTCCACAATGCATTGCTTAGCCTTAACGTTTATTGATTAACAGTCGAACAGTGGAAAACATCCTCAAGCAAAAATAAAAAAATCAGCTTTGTGTTTATCGTGTTCATTGTTCAGTGGCCACAACTGAAGGAAGTAAGTAAGGAATTAAATTGGTTCGAAGAGGTAATCTTTGCAGTTGGACATGCAGACTGGAAATTGGCTGTGATTCCTCTCTTGCCCCCCTAGTTCAATAGACTCTCAACAGTCTGTATCGAGGCTCACACAAGAATAATGGCCATTAGAGAGAGGTACCAGGGGACATCCATGATAGCGAATTCACTCTTGAATGAAAGGAGGAGTCGAATGCCTTCAGAAAAGAGCAGAAAAAAACAGGGAGTAAATTGTTTGATGAGGCCCTTTTAAAATTTAAAGAACACCAAATATTTTTTCTCCCCACTGAGCAAATGCATTGGCCTGAGGATTCAAATACACAGATGGAACCAGATGGAAAGATAAAAATAAATGACTGTTTTAATTGTTCCATCTACAGTACCCAGTGGTTAAAGATAGTAGCTGAAATATGTAGTATTTCAATACTACCATGAGATCAATTTCATGGTTTGTATACTTCCTTCATGATATTCTTGACCTATGCCTCTTGACCACTGAGTTCTGGCTCTGTCATTAGGAAGAACCCTGGGGCAGAGTGAAAAAGGTCTGTGGTGTGTGTACACAGCCCACATGGCACTGAAACTGATTTCTGCTCTTAAAATACACATATATACTTAAAAGGCATGCAGTGAGAAAGGAAAGTCGCAGAATATTTGCAGTACAAATGGAGGCTATTAGCTCATTGTGTGTCTCCTAGCGCTATCTAGAATATGTCTACTCTCATCTCATTTCCCTGCTCTGTCCCGATAATCCTTTTATTATTCTAATATTTTTCCAATTGCCTTATAAATGGTGTTAAGCACCTCGAGTGCACAGTTATGTGGTCAGGCATTGCCTGTGGATAAAAGGAATTCTTGGAAGCTCACCTTTTCAGAAAGAGGCGTCTCTTATCTCCTATCCTTAATTTTCGATCAAATCTGATTCTCGTTACTTCCCCATCCTCTCCCCTGCAATGTCTTGTATATTGTGATTAACTGTGAAAGATTCTACCTGCTTAGAATACTTTGGTGAAAATTGTCAACTGTTAGAATTCTCTTGACGGAACAACATTTGAGAATCAAAACATTCTTGTGATGTGTTGTGAATGAGTAAACCTCTTGTTTTTTTTCTGGATCTTCTAGACCTGAGTTTGTTTTGTTTCACATTTAGAAAGTGGTGCACATTGCATCCTGTTGTGATATCGCACTACATTTTTCTTACTTTTTTGGGTAAGTGACAGATTATCGGAAAGAATAATGAATGGATTGAATAAATTAACTTTCCCTTACTGACGATTTGCATAATGAAAGCTAATTTCCAGCCATGGCTACCATCTCATGCTTTCATCTCAAAGTTCAAAGTCATTCTCTAATTTTTTTGCAGTCTTGGTAAAGTGTTTGCTTTTAGTCTCTCCTTTCAGTACCTCATTCATTATATTCCAAACTACATTATTCCTTTGGTAGCTTTTGCTTTTGTGCCCGAGGCTTTTATTCCAGGTATCGGCTTTTTCTGTGACATTAATCAGACGCTGATTAGTGTAGATGTGAATGTTTATTTTGAATTTCCTTTTTTCTTGCTAATTTTCAACATTTAGCAATGTACCTTTTGAATGGAAAAAAACAGCTTCTTGAAAAGAACAACAGTTTCTTGAAAAGCAGTTACATGGGCGATTTGATGTATACAACTGAATTTTATTCAGTATCTGAACAGGTAGTTTCTCTTGGAGTAACTAGACATTTTTTTTTATTGGTCTCATATTCCCTAGAAAATAATGCAAATGAATCTGGTCGTCGCAGTGTAGTTAATTAGCTAGGCTTCCTATTGGGGGCCCAAATTATCTTTTATTATGCATTGTGCAGGTGCACTTTATGTTAATTAAATGCTTGGGGATAGAGTTGTAAGAAGCCTTACCTTGAGCTGACATTTTCTACGAAATGAAGTGGTTGCATACATGTACACTGCTCCCTCAGACATTCTGTAGAGCAAAATACAACAAAGGAGCAGTTTTCAAAACTGACTCAAGTTTTTCTTTCCAGAAGGCCGTGATGGCTGCCATCCATGGATTGTGGTATTGAATTGTTAGGAACATGTTGAAAGGCTTTGCTTATTAGCTGACTGCTTCAAACCCTTAGTTTGTGTTATTTTCACAACATGCTGTAGCGTTCATGTGCTCAGCTTTTTGCATTGGCGTATCAATCTAGACTATGAGCTCAAAGGGGAAGGAGAGCTGCCAACTGAGCCACACTTACTGAGACCTAATGAATTTCTAGAGAACTCACAAATATTGAGAAATGGATATTCAAGGTTGCTCGAGTCAGGCCTCAAGCACGTACATAATTATTGTTGTGTACTTGGTGTAACGTAAACCTGCTTTTGAATTCTAACTGAATAACCAGAGAGGTTTGAAACTCGCTGGTGGCCATAATGAAGTTCTGTTGTCATTATGTGCGCTGACCTACCTTTAGAACCAGAACGAAAGAAAGGCCGTCATAAAGTTTAAGTAGGAATCTGCCCCATAATTAAGTGAACAAAGCAGAAGATAGCGATATTATATCTGAAAGTACAGATGTGGGACAGAATCCCCTAAGGCACTTTTTGCATGTTGCTGCTTACAGTAGTCTGAGTCATTAACTGTGTTTTTGCTCGTGGACGCCTGGAGGTTTAAGTAAGTATCATTATTCAAAGTGAAGCTAAATTTCCAATTTTTTTCCTGAGTCTTTCTACAGTGCATTACATTTTGTTTTTTTTGAAGGATTAGGCCTGAAACCCGGATTAAATAGCCAAGCAGGCTCCTCTATCTCTACGGTTCATAAAATCACCAGAGAAGTAGGGATAAAAAAAAAAGGCCCTTAGCTTGTTTGATTTCATTCTTTCATAACGCACACCCCACTGTCTTCTCATTACAGCATCAAGCTGTGTCTTAATGAGTTCCGTCTCAACCATGCCTTGCGGTAACTTGCTCCAGCTATTGGCCACGCTGTTTTTTTTAAAAAAAAATAAGTACTTGTGTGGGCAGTTTGTCTTAAAATTGAATATCATGCAGAATTGTGAAAAATTCTTAAATTCTGTCTAACTTTGGAAGCCAAATTTTTCTCAGTTTTTAAAAGGGACTTTGGGCTTTCTTGTGTCTGTTTGGAAACAGTTCTCCAAAACTGTGCCCTCTTGTCTTACCCTGCCGCCTTGGTGAATCTAAAATTAGAATTGAATGATCTGGATTGTTGTTTTGGAATTTGTGGTGGTGAGGACTCTCAAGCTGCGTGGAAAATTCATCCTAGAAACCTGCTACTCCTTCTGGTATAGGATGGTCAGTTATTGTACGCACATCATGCGCTTTTAAGTAAACGTTGCCAACTCCCAAGCAGTGATCTGAATTCTTAATTTCTGTTACGTCTGGATCGCCATCTCGTGGTTTACCTGAGCAATCTCACGCAGCTGAAATTTGCAAGAGAATTCGAGTAACGGCATTAGAATAACGTACGGTTGCAATTTGTCCCCGTTATTGGACTGATATTTCGGTGCTTGGAAATTGAACTCCCTTTGGCCTGCTTCAGATTCCGTTGTCACGCTTCAAATTCCCCATTGGGTTGTCCTGGATGTGTTAAGAAGATTAATGCAGGTGTAGCCTTCAGACCCACCTGAATTAATCCATCTATTCATCTATTCATCTGTTTATCTATTTATTTATTGCTTGCTTACCTCGGCATGAAAAGAATTGAATAAAACGTAATCGGTGTGAGTGTAAA